ATGTCATCCCATTTCTTGTGGTGAATAAGGAATAAATTAAAATGTTTAATAACTACTCAACTTTAAATGTATACACATCAACATGCTTATTATATTTATGTCCTCAAGCACAATATTTAAAGTACATAATATAATATTACATACCGTCTAGATTATTCTCAAAACTATTTAACTATGGAACATTACAAGGAAGGTTAATAGTCTAGGATAGTATACTACACATAATACATAAATAAAATAAACTCCTCTTCTCCTCTTGACTCCTTCCTTATTCATCCAATCCCCTTGGAGGAGGGTCGAGATCAATGCCAAGGTATGCAGCTGCATGTCAGAGAGGAAAAGAGACTTCCACTCTAGCTTCTCCCTGTATAATAGTAGGACTAATATAGGGATTATTAACAGTAGATATAGTTAAGATAATAAAGCCTTGAAATATGATAGTCCGATTGGAGTCATTGAAACTCCACTCTCCAGTCCCCATACTAAAGGTCATAGTACGCGCAGGAATAATTGGTGCACCTTCATTCATTCTGCATCCATATACATTTTGGACACATTATAGAAAAAGATAGGGGTGAGTACAAATATTCATAAACAACCTTATAGGCAATACTCATGTTTAAATGAACAAAACAACATTCAAGCATCAAGTAATAATCATTTAGTATCTTTTATTTGTGAGTCCTCCATGGAGTAATTAATTAATTAATCCAACATTTTAATTTCAGGTTGAGATTGAGAGTTCTGTGTCTGCAATCCAGCTAGTATCATAGGTACATCCTCCCCTTTACCGGAGACAGAACATAAGTGCACAATTCTAACTTTATGATCACTACCAGCAGCCCACACTCAAACTAATCTTGGTATGCTCTAGTGCCTGTTAGGATAGGCTAGCAAAGTTCCCACTGCCTATGACACAAGTTAGCCAGACTTGGTCGGTAATACCAATACTATTTGCTCCTCGCATGTACCGTGGCGTATTCAACCTCTTTCACAATCATAAACACAAATAATATCATAACCATTGATTGTCCAACAGGCACATTATAACATTTCTATTTCAAGAGAACAATCAATTACATGGACATGGCTAACAATCAAATTTTTTTTCAGATTTCATGAACTAACTTGTAAAATTCATAATTAATTCAATACAAGTCCAAACATCATGAAATCACCAAGGTTTTCTTCCTTTAAATGTCTAATATAATATAAAATTACAGCCAAAATACAAAAGCTTCCAAAGAATTAATCAAGTCTCAGCTTACCTTTACTATTCTCAGATCATTTCATTAAACAGCCAGCATATTGTAAAATTCATAATAAATTCAATTCTCATCCAAAACACATGAGACCAGTGAGATTATTCTCATTAACATGTCTATGTTCATGTAAAAATAATTCCAAAATAAAACTATTCCCAGACATCAATTCGTGCTTTAATTTCTCAGTACATGTCACAGAATAGCACAATTTAACAACAACCTATTGGAAAAATCATAAGTTATTCGATTCACCACCAAAATTTATGAAACAAATGGAATTCTTTTACTTTGGTTATCCAGTTTCATCAAAAAATATAATTAAAAATTTATAGCTTCCATATTCCAGAATAAGTCCTAACATTCTCTATCACTCACAGTAACACACTTCTCAGAATCAATTAATTTAGAAAAGTCATAACTATTTTATTTAAGTCCAAAATTCATCAAACAAGTGAGGATATTTCTCTTATAGTCTCTATTTTTACACAAAAATAATAATAAAATAACGCTACTTATACATTTTAAAACGAAAATAGAGTTCTTAGTAGCATGCACAAAATGTTACTCTCATACAACAGCACCTTGAAAAAATCATAAGTAATTCATTTTAATCCAAATTGATCAAACTCAGTGAGAATATTTTCCTTATAACATATATTTTAAGAAAAAATTATAAATAAAATACAATCACACTTGAATTATAAGAATAAAATGATTTAAAGTACGTAGTTCTCATAAAAACATTTATACATAACCGAATATTCAAAAATTTATAACTATTTTATTTCAATTCCAAATCAAGTGAAATCAGTGAGTATACTTCCATTAAGAAGTATATTTTTGTAAAAAAAAATATCAATAAAATAACGCTCCAAACACACAGTGAGACGAAAATAAATCAAGATATACTGCTCTAGAATACCATTTTTATGCAACAGAAATTTATAAAAATCATAACTAATTAAATATAAATCCAAATAAAATAAACTCAGCGGGAAAATAATATAAATTTCACTATCTTCATGAATAAAATAGTAAAAAAGAACATTTTTAAAGATTTTCTCATATTTTACATTATTTACTCCTTAATCCTTATATTTTATATTAATTGAGAAAAGGTCCTTGTCTCCAATTTGGTAAGCATCAAATTGTCCATTATGTCTTCCATGTGTTCGAGGTCATTAATTCATGTCCAAATATGGTCCAAATCATTCTGTTGGTCCTACCACACATGTGGACAAGGATCTTGCATTTCTAAGGTTTTTTTTTTTTTTGTCCAAGTCCATGGTATTTTCCTATTTTTAGGTTCAATCTTTCAAATTTATTTTTATTTTTTTAAAGTTTGTTCTCATCATTTGTCCATATAGTCCATAGGTCCAAATATGTTCAAAAGTCCAAGGGTCTTCATCATGGTCATTTTCCATTTTTAATTCATTTCCTTTTAGAAGTTTCTTTCATAAATTTTCAAAAATACTTTGGAAATTCATTTTGACTCCAAACTAATTTTAATCCAAAAGAAGATCATGAATCCAACTTAGATATCATCATAAAAATAAGTCACAAAATGAAACATGCAAGATTTTCATACAACCAACCACATAACAAGCAAAGTCGTCATCAAACACTTTGTGGTTCTTAGTGATTTCTATGCATTTATTTATTTCAATCAAAATTTTAATCATGGATTCACCAACACACACCACTTCAATTACAACCAAAAAGGTTAAGGCTCCCCTTGACTCAAAACCATTTAAACAAGGTATTCCCCTTGATTATGAAAAGTACCATCCCCCTTATTTGGTGTTTTTGGGTTGATCTTGCCTTGATCTTTGGGTGATCCTTCTCCTCTTCCCTTTTGCTTTATTTCACCTATTAGAAGTGAGTATCTCCTTCCTTGGCCTCCTACTTCCTCAAGTGCCAAATAGTATACAAAAAGAAAGTTGGGGGCTTGGTTGATTTTGTGGGGTATCTTGGTATTTTTGGTGGGGTTAAAAGCTTAATTCAAGATCCTTATGGTGGGGTATTGGATGATCTAACTTGTAGGGTGCAAGTAAAGCGTTTGAGATGAACTTGGATGTGTATAGAGAGAATTGAGATGAAGAAGAAGTAAAGAGCTCTTGGTTGCATGAGAATTAGTATGAAGGGTCTTTTTTCTCTTTCATGCATGGCTTTATATAGAAAATCTCTTCATGTTGGCCCACTCCCATGCATCTCACGGTTACACCCTCTCTCACACAAGTCTTGATTTTCAATTTTGGTTCCTTTTTGGCTTTTTCTATAGGCCTACCCATGTCCACATTTGTAAATATCCAAAATTGCCCTTTTATGATAGTTTTGTAATTCTAGTTAGATTTTAACTTTCCTATTTCCATTTCAACCATTCCAATTACTTTTTGAAACCTATTTAGTTTAAATCCAATAGCCATGGTCATGGTTCAATTAGATCCATTGGATGAGGATTAGTCCACAAATTATTCATCATTAGCCTTATCTTCTTGAATACTTATCTTGTTGTTTTGGCTTAATTTCATGGTTCTTATGGAATATACTCATCCAGCTGGGATTAAACCATAAATGACCTTATCCCTTAATCATGATTAGTCTCACATGGCTCTAAAGGGTCACATGGCTCCTTACTACTATTCCTAGCCCACTTTCTTTCATATACACTTGGTTTTTGGGCCTCTTTTTGGGTGATTTTTGGGTAATTTCTATACTTGCTCTTTTGGTTCCATACTTGCACGTCCATAACCTCTACACATGGGCCATCTATCATAAAAATTTTATAATTTATCTCCTTCATTTGCTTGTCCGAAATAGGTCTCCATTCTAGGTGTTTCTAGGGGTATTTTGGTCATTTTAGTTAAATTTTACAATTTTATTTATTTTTCATTTTTGGATCTTTCTAAATTTCTTATAATTCATAAAAATATTTTAGATATTCTAAAATGTTAAATAAAAATTTTTTATTTCCTTTTCATGTTATTCGATTATTTACCGATCGAACTTGTTTCGGTAAATTTTATTAAGAAAAATTCTAGTTTTCAAGTCTCTTTATACTATTTATTTTTAATTAAATGAGGTTAACATAATGTAAAATCATTTATGAAAAGAGAAAAATTTAGAGTGTTACAGAAAGCCAATTCAACACTTACTAAAGAGAGGATATCAACATGAACTAATTTCTAAATTAACAACTTTAGAAGGACTATTTCTTAATAAAAATATTTTTAGAAACTAATCATAAAATGACATATATTTATAAAAACCAATAATATATTTAAGTTTAAACAAATTTTTCTTATAATTATAAAAAAATATGAACTAATTACATTAAATAATAAAATAATTTTAAATTTTTACACGTACCCTTTATGACGTCCTTAAAACCAAAATAAATATAACATTTATATCATAACAGTTTGTCTTTTGTGTGGGTTATAAATAGACACGTAAAAATAAATGAAATTAATAATAAAGAAATTTTAATTACTTTATTCAAGCAAAAATTTTAAATAAAAAATTAATTACTTATTAAAAAAAATATTTTAAAGTTTAGAGAATTTTAAATAAGGTTCTCTCAACTTATAAGGCACAGAAATTACCTTTAAATAATACAATTTAAATATCTTAAAATTCAAATTTGTTTAGAATTTCAAATTTTTTCATTTAAACATGTTAAAAAAATGTTTAAAATTTGCTTAGAGAAATTTGTGACTAATGTGTAAGCATCCTCAAAAAATATCTATAGAGGAATTGCGGTTGCCGTTTTGGCGGTGGAGACGAGGAATTGGTTATTTGATTGCAGCTTCTACGCACAGCATTTGGAAAATGGCAACGGCATCATGGAACATGGGTCTCCGTTCATACCACAAGGTCAAGGTAAAGGTACCCTATTCAACTCCTTTTAGGATTAATGTTCACACCCCTTTTCACTCTCTCTTCCTCTTTTTCTTTCTCCCAGACGACGTCGTTTGAGGTTTCTTGCAGTCGGAAGAGAGATAGAGACAGAGAACGAGGTAGCATCCATCCCTACAAAGTGGTTGAGATCACTCCTCCTCCTAAGTGTCTTGGTGTTCGTTGCTTTCCCCCCGTAAGTGTTACCAATTCCAAAGCTTCATTCTTCAGAATCTGCTTCTGAATTTCAATTTTTTTATTTCAGATTTTCAAAATAATGAAATATTACTGTTAATATCTAGCTGTGGAATCGTGGTTGATGTTATATGAGTTAATTATTAGGTCCGTGTTCAATCAGATCCCGTGGAGTTTGCGTTGATGTTTTCTTAAAACCTTTTTAATTTTTAAGGCCAATTCAATTTCATAACTGATCAATAACGTATTCGAACCGCGTTTTATAACTGTTTTCGTTCTAATTATCTTTTATTTATTTTTATAATTATATTATCGTTTTCTCAATTCAAAACAACAAAACTAGTTTAGTTCACTGGTATAACAGACTCAATTAACTGGCCTTCAATGCTTTCCATGATTGAGACAGGGTACAGAAACTGAAAATTTTAGGGACTTGAATATGGAGGGATATTTTCAAATGAACATGCTTTAAGATTTTATGACATTGATGCAAAACATAGGAAGGACTCAAAAATATAGTGATAAGGTTAGATGGAGAAGGAGAGAAAAAGTGAAGGCCTAAGTGTATTGTGATATCCAGTAAAATACATATGATTTGATTATATGATTGATGTGTTACAATTTAAAAACTGTAGCCTAACCGTTCTGTTTTTAATAATAATTCAATATTGCAAGCCTCTTGTGAGAGTTTGTATACCCCTAATATTCTAACTACTATTAAAATGCAGTCAGTGGATATCCAATAAGGATAGAATGCTGGCTTTTCCTCTGCCTTAAGTTCAATAGGCTTAAATAAAAAATTTATTGATGCAGCACTTGCTTTTGTTCCTATGGAAGTTTGTGGTTTGTGGACCTTGCAAAGCACTATAAACCTCTTTGGTACTAGAATTATCTTAAAGACCTTCGTCTATTTGATATGAAAAAAAAAAGGCAATGAAAGGAGAACCAAAAATTGTCAAATGTACCCAGAATCTGAGATACCTTGTATAATTAATGACTTACTGTGGATTTGATATGAATTAGAGATCGTGTAAACCCATACAAGTGTACAAAGGCATTACAAAAAGAAATTTGAAAAGTTCATGAGAACACTCTGATAACAGTTACATGACACTCATGATACAGTTGCAAATTATCTATCAGATTTGTATAGCATATTGGTAAAAGGAAAAATAATGTGCAATCCCAAGATTCTCAACTACTTCTGCAATGCCATGTAAACACTTATATGTTATCATCAACTTATCATTAAAGTTTATCTAATGAGACTAAATTTTTCAACTAGTGCTTATAAGAAAACAATGAATATAGAAAGTAAAATGAATCAAACATCTCATAAAAGTTAAAATTAACTAATGTTCCTCAATTTATTTTTACAGATCCCTCATTGAACTTCGTCATAAACACCTATAAACTTAACAAAATTTGGCATTCTTGCCTTAGATTAACATTATGGTTTAACAATTGAAAAACTCTCATAAGTCATAATTAGATGCTAATCCGAATTGGGAATGTTACGTCAGTTGGCCTGATTATTGGCTGGAATCACATTTAAGGGTTCCCATTCTGAGTCATGAAGATTGAGATTAGACAAACTGCTATTGGAAGCTTAACTGCAAGTTATACTCTCCTCCCATACTGAAATAATTGAGGTGATGTCAGTCAGCACTGATTAGTGGCAGAATCTACTAATAGTAAAAACTCTTAATATATTCACCTCCTACTTTGAACCATTGGCCTGCTTATTGGATAGGAATTTGCATCTATCAATCTCATAAAGGGATTATTTTGTAGATTCAATGATGCCTCTGAAAGGCTACCTTAGAGCTGTGGTGCAAGTCTCCCCTCCTTTCTCTGTCTGAAACAACTTTGCCTCCTAGTAAACATTATTGTGATGGGAACTATTCATTGAAGTGTAAAATCCAAGAATGTGCGTTGCTTCTTTGGTCAGCCCTTCTCCTACTCATTGGATCAGAGTTTGGTTCTCTCTCAAAATGGGAACTGTCGTCAGTGGTTTGGAGGATATATGTCCCTTTGAAAAGATGCATGAATATTGCAAACTGTTAACTGCTTTCCTAAAACTAACTTCTGCAGATTGGAAGAATAAAGTTGTTTATTCTATAGGTCTAGCATATATCATGCTACATGAGAACATATGAATGGGAGATACAATCGTTTCTAAGAGCCAGCAGGCATATAATTGAAGACAATGCACATGTTGGAGCTCAAACCACACAAAAGTAGAAGGATAATTACATCTTAGTATATTGAAGTATCAGAATTGTGGTTGTGATTTCTTCCTTTGGATAATTATATGGGATGGCAGATGGGTCCATATGAGATGAGGAATTGAGGCAAGCTGTTCGGTTAAGTAGCTGTGATTGATGTTGCCTTTATGGTTCTGAAAGCTGAAAATTAGAAGTAGATTCTTCATTTGGTCCTTTTATGTCCTGTTTAACAAGAGAAAATGCTAGCTAGCAACATGTTCTTTCAAATACTACTAGTTATTGGGTAAAATTCATGAGTTTCACTCCCTATTTAATGAGTTATATTTATTATTTAGTAGGATCTACATTGATTTTATCTAATAGTATCCAGTGTTAGAAAGAATGTACTAGAAATTGATTTATTAACATTTCTCATTTAACAAAATATTTTTTTTATATATTCATTTGACAAAGCATTATTGATCACATGTTGTGTTGTCAATTTTTGTTCTATTGATTCAATTATGCATACTGGTGATCCAACATAACTTCTTTTTGGTGATATAACACAATACAACTTTTTTGGGTGATATGATCCAACATGACTGTGTGAGAAAAGAGAAGGGGGGGGGGGGGGGGGGGAACGTGCTACGTTCAGTTGGGACATTTGCATCATATTCTTTTTTCTTTTTTTCCAAAGCATTGCATAATATATATTTTTTCAAAGCAGAACTTGCAGTCTGGAGAAAGTGTAACAATAGAAGGACAAGCTTATACTATTTCAGCTGTAACGCATCGCTATCAGCTTCGGAAGGGAAAATACGAACCGAGCGAGAAGAGACTTGATGTTTTATCCACCGGAAGATACTTAGTAAATTTATATTTGGAAAATTTATTAGAACAATCTTGATGAGCGCTTGTTTTTTAATTTAAGAACCAGGTTCCATTTCCAAAATGTAATTGCCAAGTTCTGTGCTGCTTTAACTTCTTTCATAAGCAATGGCAATTCTTTTTTTTTAGAAAAAGCTTGTTTTTGTTTGTTTAAAAGAGGTGAAAAATAACTAGTAGAAATGTACAATTCAGCAGCAAGGTACTGATTAAGTCTAGCACATTTTACAGATAGTTGAATCTCTTATGGTTCAATTTCTAGTGGTGTCTGTGAAAAAACTTTGTAGAGAAAAGAAAAGTATTAATCTCTAACCAGGGACTGGTCTTCGACTTTTGGTTGAGGCATGTCTTTTATGTGTGAGCATGGACGAATGTACATATAATGAGAAGATATCTGATTTTAAGAATGTAAAAATAGTAAAATTTATACAATCATGTATGGATAATTAGAATTAAAAGATAGTTAATGGTTCATAATTATTTAAAAAAAGGTATGTCTTTTATTTATTTCATTTTTCATAACAAATAACTGTTTTAACTAGGATTAAAGTGAGATTTCTTTAAGGCTATAACTTTCGTTCATGCATCTGAAGGGTTAAGTTGATAATAGTCTCTGTTTTCTTGCTCCTTAAACTAAATAAAGTAATGAAGTAGTTGTATGTCGTTAACTAAAAAAATCTTGGTTCAGCAAAATTCAGATATGAGCACTACAAGTTCTCACGTGCACTCCCGGCAAGAATGCCAGAGCCTTTTATCAAGTAGGACCCAAAGCATTCATATATGAAGCAGAGTGTCAGAACAATTTACGAGATACGAGCAGTTATGGTGACCCCTTTTGTTTTCTTCACTTTGACCAACAGCTATGGTGCCCAGTACACCTCTTTTATTCACACTCTGGTCCTGCATGTTGGCAATAATTAAATTAACACCAGATTCAGATAAGATTGCACAAATGAACTTCCTCCAATTATCTTGTTGGATTTGTTGGTTCAATCCGGGTGTGGAAAAACTCCTACTGAGGAAAATTTTTAAAGTTTAGAAAAATGGTTTATAACTTCTTAAATTCATTTTAATAAGATTATATTAAATTGAGTGTTTTTGACATAGTTTTGGGTTTAATAAGTTCTTATTTTGATGAGAAGGTGGACATGAAAATATTGACTTTCAAAAGTCTTTTTTATTTTAATAACTTTTTAGAATAACATATTAAAATAATTATTTTTAACTTATTCTAGTCAATTCTATAATTAAATTATTTTAATTGCAATAAGACAATTTTAAAATATTTATCAAAACATTTTCATTTCAAAAATTACTAAAATGAGTGAATTTCAAAATTATTGAAACACAATAATTTCTTTTTTTTATTAATAATTTCTTATATTTCTTGAAATGTTTAATTTTCTTATAAAAATAGCATCACAGCTTCTTTTGAATTCCACCTATGTGAATCTTTAACAAAGTTTTATTCTTCTTGTATTTCTTACTTAACTTTACTTATTTCTACTAGCTCTATCATGAAATGTGTGAGAGAGGAAGTAATCGTTCATACTTTTTTAGCCTTCCTTTTTCTTCAACTAACTTATTTTAATTTATTGAAAGTTTCATTTTTTTAAAGGGGTCATAGTTCACTTGAAACTATCCAAATTCAAGAGGAAATGAGTTCATGCTAAATTATAATAGAAATGACTCATTTTCATCCAAAGCCATATATTTTTTTTTTGGCTAGACTTTCCATTCTCATCACATGATTATGAATGAATTGCAGCCAGTCAAATCTTTAGGTTATCATCTAATGCAACAAGTTTTCTAAGACATACTTGTCAATAATGTAAAATTTGAAATACTTCTTAATTTTTGTCTTCAATTTCCTTGCATTATTTATTTTAAGCATAGGTAGTTTAACATTTTAAAATAATGTCATCCTTAGTTCTCAAATTTTATAAAAGACTTGTCATCTTCTATCCTGATCTCAATAACAACTGGGAACACTTCATATGTGATTATTACTAGGTTCAGATCCATTACACCAAACCATAATAGAGTTTTCTCCCCATTTGCATATTTCAATCCATTGAACTTGACCATATTATAGCCTAAACCAAATATATTAGTAAAAGCAACAAGTTTTATTTAAACTTATATATTAATGCTTTGAGTATTATGTATTTAAGCATATAATACATAAATTTACACTTTTAATAAATAATTATACTAGAATAAATATGTTTTAATAGACAATTAATAATACTCAAAGTTAACATGCATACTTTGGTTAACCTCTTAACATCAAACTAATGATCCCAATCATTTAATTTGACATACATTTTTATTTACATTACATAACCATGAATAATTAAAAAGTAGACAAATAAATAATTAAATATCTTTTTAAATTAGTCCACTTTAATAACTAACAAACTTTAAATATTTTAATCTCTTAGTCAATTATTTGAAATTAAATAATACAATCAAACATTGATCGTATACTTTAATATTTTTTCTCTCTCTTTGAATCATCTCCAAAATAAATTTGATTCATTCAATATTCAGAGTAATTTTTAACCAATATTGATACTTTATATAGACACATACAAACAATTATATTTATTTCTAATATAGAATAATAACATTAATTCTAATAATAAAAAATATATAAAAGTGTTTTAATTTCAATAGCAATATTTTAATTTAAAAATCTATCTTTTAATATTATTAATATGTTCACATCCACAAGCGTGTATAATAATAATAATAATAATGATAATAAAAATTACAATTTGATGTGTACTACTTTAAATCCAGAGTTTTAGATACTTTATTTTCATATTCTTATAAAGCAGTTTTAGAAAATAAATAATATATAATCATTCATTATATTTGCAGAGTAATCATGATCATTCTCCTAGAGAATTTTTTAAATATTATTGGATGTTGTCACTTTTATATGATTTATTTTTATATAATTGTACAATAACTAAAATTTATGCAAAAATACAAAAATTATTATTGAAGTTTAAAATTAGTTTTCATAAAACATACATGTTCAATATAGAACAAAAAGTGTAAGGTAAACTTGTGATAAAAAAAAATAAAATTTACATTATTCATATCTATATATATGGGGAAAGATCTTCTTACACTAGTGTAAGTCTAAAAATTTTTACACTCAATCTTAACCTTTCATTTAACTTAAATCTAACGGCTAATGAAGTAATAAATTATAATATGTTAGATTTAAGTTAAATGAAAAGTTCAGATTGGGTGTAAGAATTTTTAGACTTACACCGATGTAAAAAGATCTTGCCCCTAAATGATAATTACAATTAAAAGTAGTGGTTGTCATAGCCACGTCAATGGTGACACCAACAAAGATGATTAGTCAATCAATGGTGGCAATAATAACAGTAACACCCTCATTCTTATTTCTCTTGTTTTTAGAAATATAGAAATTTTGATGCAGAATTTCTCACTCAAGTGAGATATGTTTTGCTCAAGCGAGAGAGGATAATATTGCCTTAATTGTCATCTTGTCCAGGCAAGAGTGTGTGGCTCACCCAAGCAAGAAAGGGTTTCGCCCAGGCAGCCTCGTAGAAAAATTTGGGAGCTCTCTAGACCTATTCTTGCTTAGGCAAGAATACCTCTCGTCCAAGCGAGAATATCAGAAAAAGACTAGAAAAGTCATTATCTGGTTTTCTTGCTCAAGCAAGAAGGAGCTCACTCAAGTAAGAATGTGCTCACTCAAGCAAGAACGCACGTGTTTGAAGGGTATTTAAGGGAGTTCGTGTTGAGAAATTTTATTTTTCACCAAAATCACCTCTCCCTCTCTGTTCTCTTCCTTTCTCTTTCCAGAGAAAGCCTCTTGTAAATTTGAATCTCTCTCAGATCTAAGCTCGAACGTCTATTCCACTTAAATATAAGTAAGTTTCTAGACCTTAACTTTTGAATCTTGTTCCTATTTCTCTATTCTCTCTTTCCATAATAGTACTTTATAATGTGATATTAAAAACCTCTAGCTTTTGAGTAGTGCCTCCGGTAAAACGTGGAGTTTATCTTTAGAGCTCATAAAAAACTTAGTCTCAGAGACTTATTTTCAGGTAAAGGGAGTTGATTCCAAACCTTAACTCAGATTTACATGTTTTTGGCTTGGAAATCTAATTTATCTTGCTTAGGATGGCGAATCCATGATATTTTCTTAAAAGTCACGGTGTAAAAATGGATTTGTGGACATGTAAAATCTATATGTATTTTATTACTATCTGAGTAAAGTTTCAGAGTAAGAATTATGAAGAAAACCAATTTGTTGAGAAGTTCTACAACTTTAGTAGTGATTATTATGCATGAACAGCTTTGAGGCGTGAATTATTATTGAGAATAATAAGTATGCTAGAAAAAAATTACACCTCAAGATAAATGATTTTTATTAAGACCGAGATTGATCTTCGACAAAACATTTATGAACTGCGCAACTGATCTGATTCTGGAGGTGTCTACCTTCGTTGCATTGTATTGGATTTGTGTTGATATATTTCCTATTTATAATTGTATGCTAGATTGAGAAGTTTGATTGTCGGGTGCGACTGATATAAATAGTTTAACTATATTTGAATAATAAAAGATATTATATTACATATGTGAAAATTGGGTTGAGTCTGAATGTGTGTACTTTTAAGACATATTTCATTTAATATAATGATGCATGATTTATTGATCTGGAATGATTGAAGAAAGTTGTTTGATTGTTTGAATGATCTAGGTGTATAAAGTATTAGACATGTTTTGTTTAACAGAATGATGAGAAAGAGATGAAAAAAAATATGTTATAAGTGAAAAGAAAAGAAAAGAATTGGTTGAATAATTGGATTGCTGAGAAAAATATGAGAAAAGGAAAAAGGAGTAACTAATATGTATGTCATAAAAACACCAATTGATATGATTATAATACGTGTATTATAATACATTGACAGGTGAGATTATAACACATCTGTTGTAATACATTGATTAGCGTGATTGTAACACACGTATTAGAACAATATTCATTGACATAAACAATATAATTTGATATGCCACTATTGAGATACCGCA